AACCTCAGACTCTTTCCCATATGTGATGTTATTTTGACTTGCAGACTTCATCATTTGATTCTACCCCATCTCCAAGCAAGACTCCTGTAGAAAACCCACTAAATATTATGTTGAATATTGTCAAACAAGAAGTACAGGACTCCTGTAACAGCCCCAAAGTCAAAGAAGAACCAGAGGAAAAGCCTAATGATTGCATTGATGGGAACACACCTGAATCTGCTGAAATTAAAACAGAACCGGAAAAGGTTGAGTCAGTTTAAACTGTGGGGTTTTTTTTAATTACAGAGAAGAGCTTACTGTGTCCTACTGACTCTAGAATGCAGATAATTTTTATATGAATAAAGTGTTCGCCTGGGGCAGGGCCCCAGCTACTGACTTGGTTAATAAATACATTTTTGTATTTGAATTTCTTATTGCCTGCACCGTGTCAGGTGTCTATCGTGTGGAAGTTCTGTAGATGGCGTACAAATTTAACAGGAATAGACTGTATATGTAAGAAAAAATGTACATTTTTTTTTTCATTTGTGGAAATGTAAATTATAAATAAAAGATATTTTTGCTATCTATGGAGTATAATGTTTATGCACACCATCCAATTAAAAAACAACACCACACTTACCTTGGGGGTGTTTTAAACAAAACGGAACTCAGGCTTCTACACAGGGCTTGTGCTTAAATAGGATTCTCACGGAAATAGCAAGGAAGATGCTTTTGCTGTAAAGTTTGATAAGGAGAAAATTACTGTTTGAGAAAAGGTCTTTGCAAACATTGGATTGCTTTTCTTAACTGCCTTCACATTAGACATTTAAAAAGAAAAGTAGGTTTACATAACAAATATAACATAGTTCCCTTTGGATACTTGCCTACATTTTACAGCAGATCTAGATTCTCATAATTTCAACTACTCAGTACACAAAAGCTTAATACTTTTTTTTTTCATTTTAGAGGAACAAATGTAAGATTGCTCGTTTGCAACATGGTTAACATTTTTGTTGGTTTATTGGATCTAAATAGTAGAAGAGATTACCAAGAAATGTTAATATTTATTTCGTGTAATAAACTAGAATGAAGCGTATAACTGTTTTGAGTCTTTATTTCATGGGTTGGTGTGGGAAAATCCAACTTGTTACAGGTAGTCCTCGACTTACGATCACAATCAGGACCAGAATTTTAATTGCTAAGCGATGAGGTCGTAAAGCAAGATGTTACGTGACTGCATTGGTTAGCGACAGCAATCCCCCTTGCCGTCATTAAGCGAATTCCACTGGCTGTTAGCTGAGGAACCACCCCAATCCAAACCGTTCCAGGCTTGGTCCTTCTCAGCCCTGAGCCTCAGTAAGGCAAGGAACTGCCTCCAACACCCCCCCTTTTGGCTATTTGGCACCTTGCCCTGCCTTGCAGGGTGGCAAACGGCTCCAGAACTGTGCAGATCTGGGGCTGCTTGCTACGCTGTGGCTCAGGGCTTCTTGGTGCCCCACAGCTCTGGAGCTGCAAGAAGCCCTTGAGCCACAGCCACTCCTGCAAGCCCCAGCAAGCTGCAGTGCCCGGGAAGCCCCAGCAAGTATTTGCATGCCCAGCTGCCTTCTCTCCTAGTTCCCCACACTGACCGTTCACCTTTTGCGCCCAGCTGCTGTGGCTGAAGGAGAAGCACCTTGCTGCCTTTGCTGTCTTCTTTTCGGACCCACCTTCTCCAGTGAATGTTTTCTACACATGGCTCCCAGAGCCTTCGGAAAGCTGCGCTGTCTTTCCAAAGGCTTTCTGAAGGCTGCGCAGCTTTCTGAAGGCTCAGGGAACCATGTGTAGGAAACATTCACTGGAGAAGCTGGGTCCGAAAAGGAGGCAGCAAAGGCAGCAAGGCACTTCTCCGTCAGCCACGGCAGCTGGGCGCAAAAGGCGAAAGGTCAGTGTGGGGAATTGGGAGAGAAGGCAGCTGGGCATTCAAGTGCTTGCTGGTGCTAGCTGGGGCTTCCAGGAGTGTCCGTGGTTTCCAGGGGTGGCTGCAGCTCAGGCTTTTTGCAGACCCAGAGCGGCAGGGTGCCAAGAAGCCCCTGAGCTGCAGCATAGCAGGCAACCCCAGAGCCGCATGGGGTAGGCAGGAGGGTGGGCAAAAGAGCAGAGATGGTGAGATAGATGGGGGGAGTTGAAGCGCCTCTCTGGTCATAAGTGTGGGCGGGCTGAATTTTGATCATGTCACCACGGGGGTGCTGCAATGGCTGTAACTTTGGGGACCAGTCATAAGTCCACTTTTTCAGCACCGTTTTAACTTCGGTTGCTGAACGAATGGTCGTAAGTCAGGGACTACCTATACATAGCATATAAATAATAATTTGGGCCTTGAAGTGAATTGAGTTGGATGGAGTTCACTCAAAGCTTGTTGAATGTTATTCAAGCCCAAGTTTTCTAAAGCATTAATATTTCCAAGGTGCAAGACTACTTGAGGGAAAATCTCTAAAAATCTCTCCTTTAAGAAAACAGCTGTCCAGGGAGGGGAGATTTGAATTGTATAATACTGGGGAGAGGAAATACAACTGTATTTGGAAAATGCATATGCCACTCATTCCTTTAATGGGTATGGGTAGCTTACAAGGCGCAATGAAACATCACAAGCATTCATAAGAAATAAACTAAAATAGTGGCATTAAAAGACTTAAAAATATTTGTAACTCCCTTCTGAACTAATGAGGAGGCTTGCTTCAATTCCAGTGGCAATTCTGTAATACGGATTCTGCCACAAAGAAAGGTAGAAGGTTATTGATGGTGAACATCCTTGGCAGGACTTGTAAAACATGCTCCCTTTATGACCTAAGAGTGCAGAATGGGCTGTATGGAAGTAGGGTTTATAAACTTGGTAAATAAAATACATAAGATTATATTCCATTGTGAGCACTTTGAATTGAGTTCAGCAGGCAACTTCCAACCAGTGAAGTTTCATTACAGGTAAAATGGGAGATGTCAAGGAGGCCCCACTCACTAATCCTGTTGTTGGACCAGACCAGACCAGACCAGACCAGACCAGACCATCATCAAGGGGCTGCCCCCGTAAAGAGTGCATTGCTATAATCCAATTTTGAGATTACAAACCTGTGAGTACTTCCAGAATTGCATATTTAACCTCAAGGGCGATGCAGCTTCATCCAGGCCAGATCTTCCATATCCTAAAGTGTAGCCCCCAGAATAATATAGCTGTCTTGCCTGAATAGAGCTTCAAGTTTATTTTCCCATGTCCAGTCCTTTACTGTCTGGATTACATGGAGGCAGTGGTGATTGTAACCCAGAATCTACAGGAAAAGAGAAACACAGATGGGTATCTTCAGTATGTTGATGACAACTCTGATGCTTTCCAGTGGCTTAACATGGGAGATAGAATGGAAATTGTCAGTTCCCCAGGTTGCTTCCAAGAAGTCAATCAGAAATCTCTCAGTATCAGTTTTTGGTTGCACCCATTGAGTTGGAACAATTTTTTCATAATATGGTGCTTCTAACCCCCACTTCTCCCAACAAGATCCCGTGGTCAACTGTACTAAACACAGTACTGTAATCCAGAGAAATTCAGAAGTAACAGCTTCATGCTTCCCCTTTCTCCTGGTACATCAAAGTGTCCAAGGCTATCTCTGCTATTTGGAGGGCTCAAGATAATCAGTTTCACTTAAGAGTTCTTGGAGCTACAGGATCATTATCTTTTTCACGAGCTTGGCTAAATATGGAATATTGAACACCAGTTGATAGTATTAAAATCAGTGGGATCCAATGACAGCTTCTGAATCAAAGGCCTTATCACCATCTTCTTTAAGTAGAAAGGAATTCCACATGCAAAGGAGAATTATTTTTTACTTGAGTGCACATTGTTAGGACAGAATCTTTAAATGTCCTTATAAGACAAGTTGGAGAGGGATCTGTCAGGCAATTAGTAGCGTGAACAGAACTTTATCCACTTCCTCAAGGTTCATGCAACAAAACTAGACATTAAGAGACAAATGATGGATGCACACAGTGATATCAAACCTGGTATGAGTCTGAGCAATTTCATTATGTATCTCGCTAAGAGTTGTTGTAGAACTGGGCAGTCTCATAAATTTTGTAAATAAATATATACAGTTCATCAATAATTTTCATTCATAAATCAATAAATATTGTATACAGATGGCATCAAGGCACCATCCATAACTGAGGTTGGAACCCAGCATTTCTGAAGAGATTTGTATTTAGTCTTTTCCTGTACGACCAACTACCGTGCTTTAATTTTGCAAAATTTACTCGTGATCTGATTCAATCACAAATCCCGTTGTTGCATATGGATAATTATAGTCTCCTCTGTTGTTGTAATATCTGTAGACGTGTGTGGCATAGCCATATTTAGAGAAAGGTCTTGCCACTCTGCCATTCTTATATGCAGTAATATAAAAATATATCTATTCTGAAAATCCGCTTTCAGAACAGGATTCATTTTTATCTTGCTGATGCTAACTAAATCATTAACCCATGCTTCTTGTCCATCTAAAGTCAAGTTTTTAAATCAAATTTCCACAAATGCGGTTGATACTGTATAAAGGAAAAAGAAGAGAAGGCTAACGTTTGGTAGCTTTACTCAAGATTAAGTCCAAATTGCCCGTAAACCTAGCCCACATTACAGTTGTCCAGTTCTCACAACACACTAAGCTAAATCACTGTTGGCTAGCTTGAAGTTCAACGTGTCTTGCAAATTTAGCTGCAGTGACTCATCCAGAATCATCTAGGGAGCTTCAGTGACCAACTATGGACACCAACTTGGGTTTTCCTGAACCCCTTCCCCACTAGGCCTATAGAGTTGCTGCATTCCCAACCCTGTTGAATATGCCTGGAAGCCTCCAATCCTCCTGCGTGGAAGAAGCGTGGCCAACAGAGCATTGCAGGAAGTGTACATGGTTTCCATGGCAACTTCCTCCTAGCAGCCACAGAAGCAGTGAGAAGAAGCAAGCAGAGAGGAAGAAAGGAGGGCTGTGAGAATTGGCGGACCCTGGACCATGCCGGCTGCTCTTCCCCCGCAACATGGTGAGATTTGCTTTGCCACCTTCTCCTCCCCTGTTTTTTGGGGGGGGAGGGGGGGAGAAAGGGGTTGGGGGAAGAAAAGCAGTTAGAGATGACTCCTTAATTCTCACTTGATCTCTTAAACTTCCTAATATCTGTGCATGGGTTGAAAATGCTGATCTGAACTGTTCTTTGGGTTATAATTCTCTCTATGGGCTCGTGCCACATCTGAAATTTGGGGTTTTAACACTCCAGCTCTAAAGGGTCTGTTAAATCCAAATTGATCTTCAGTAGCTTGGCTAGAATTGACTGTAACATTTAATTTTATTTTGTGGTTTATACTGGGTTGATTCCTACTGTTGAAATGTATATAGTGCGTGAGTGTTAACAATGACCTGTAGCTTTCAAAATGATATAATATATTCAGTTACTTAAAACCTATCAATGAAACATTGAAATGTTTAACCTAATTCTATGATGCTTGCAAACTTCCTGTTTATAAAACTTTGTGTTTTCTTTTTCTTTATTTCTTCCTCTTCTTTTCTTTCATCGGTCTACCTTCTTTTTCTTTTTTAAAAAGATGCATACAGTAATAAAAAATACACTTTTGAAAAATGAAGCGCTCTGTTGACTTTAAAGGAATTTTTAAAACACACTCACAGTCACACAAGACAGCCTCAAATAACAGCCTTCTCTTATTGATGGTGCACTTTGCCAACCATCTCAAAAGAGATGGTCAGAGATAATGCAGATATTCATTACTTAAAATAAAACAAAAAGAACAGCAGACCCTTTGAGTACATTTACAAATGTCCAAGCACATGAATGTATGGATGTATGGCTGGTTTGCAGTTTGCCTTAAGTTTATGCAACTATATCCTGAAAGGACATCCTGTTTCTTGTAGTGCCCCCTTTTTTTTTTAAAGAAAAAAAGATAACGTTTCACATTTTAGACAAATGATGTTAAAGATCAGTAATTTCCCTTGTTCCCCCCTCACCCCACACTTTCTGCCTCCAAATTCTTTCTTTCTCATTTAACGGCTTGGAGCCATTTTAGAGTAGAGTGGCATAGAAATGACCAGTAATAAAAAATAAATTCCTAATACTCTTTTACTTTTTGATGGTATTAGTAACAATTCCATGTCTTAGGTAGAACTAACTTGCAACATTCAAATAACCTGTTTTCTAAACAACACAGGATTGAGCAGCAGAATCCTGTCCAAAATAACTTTTTTTTTTTTAATGTATGCTTGACTGGCCAGAATGTGCATTTAATTTTTTTTTCTGGCCTATTTTGATTTAAAACATTTTTTAGAGCAAGCTCAGGAATGATCCCCAACCTTGTGAATCTGTGGGAACTGGATAACGGAAAGGGGAAAGTGAAGGCAAAAAAGTAAAGATTGACTGCCAACCTCTCTTTTATTTTTATTTCTTTATTTTCTGCCTACCCTGCTTTTTCTACTCTAGCAACGACTGAAGGCTATTTATGAGCTCATCTTTGCTTTGACAAAATCCCCTTATATTAAGGGTTTGGCACTATAAATTCCAGATTTCCTCAGTCAAACAGTTATCAACTTTTAATTTAACCATAGCTCTGCTTTGGCTCCAATTTTGTTAGCACACCCCATCAGAGTCACTTGCACTGCTACTATTAGACTACTCTGGTTCCTACTCATATTCTGTCAGCCTTCCCAGATAGACCAGACAGGAAACACGACCAGATGAGCTAATTCTACCTTATTATAAGGCTACACTAACAGAACCTTGCAAGTCTGAAAGTACAAATCTCCCACTGTCTTCTTTACAGCCTGAGAAGTTAGGGAGGGTCCCTTCTGAGTCTCTTTCTTCACCCATTATGTAGCTGCGGGCTATGCCCTCTCTTATCTGACCATTCCGTAGGCAGCATCTCTTTGCCCCATTTCTCGAGGTCTTTCTCACATACCATTACATATTCCTACTGTTGTATCTGTGTATGCGCTATACAAAGAACAGATCCTGACCAATCAGGAGGTTGGACTAAATAACCTTTGAAGCATCATCCAAGTCTCATTCTGTAATTCTAACCAGAGGGCAGGACTTTGTGTCATTCCTGGAGAAACGCTGGTGCATGAAACCAGTGTCTGCTGTCTCAAGTGATACACTCCAGATCTATGGACACCTATTTGAGAACTAGCAAACACAAGAATATTGTTGAACACTGGAGGTTATATATATACTGGGGTTATATGTAGTCCAGTGCCAGATTCTGAGGAGTGATCTTGGATAAACTATATATTTGGCCTGCAAGTAATCAACTGTACAGAAGAAATTGTGTGATGTTTTGATTTTTTTTTTCTTTTTCTTCTTTTTTCTTCTTCAAACTTTTGATGATTTTTTGATTGGGGTTTTTTATTTGTATTTTTACTGTGCATTTTGTAAGCCACTCAGAATCATAACAGGTTGGGTGGCCTATAAAGGCTATATATAAATAATAAAAAAAATTAACAATTCCAGAGAAAGGAAGAGCTTCCACTCATACGCACAGGGAAGGGGCAGTGTTGACAACAGAACCACCATGAGAGGGGAAAATCCTACCTTGCCAGGGTTCAGGAAATTATTAAAACCACAGTTGTATAAAAGTTTGGTTTACAAATGTCGTCTTCTACTTTTATTGCTTTCAGTGTTTTTTTATACTTTTCTGTGTGATATAATTTGAGGGGACTGCTTATATTTTATTGTTATGCAATTGTAACTTAACAATGGATGTTTTGTTTTTGTGATTGGAAGCTTCTGAGAGTTGTTTGATTGAATGGAGAAAAAAATCTAATTCCAATCCAGTCCAATCCAATCCTATCCCATCAATGAATGAAAAATAGTGGTCAGGTGCTAGCCATAAGGCAACGATGTGGCATTTATTTTATTTCATTTTTATTTATTTGTTTTATTATTAAATTTGTATGCCGCCCAACTCCCCCCAACAGGTGACTCTGGGCGA